CCTTGGCCCTGCATCCCTTCGTGGCTCTGCACCGTGTCGCTTGAGGACGTTGGCCCCGGAGAGCCAGGGATTGTGCGCGTCTTCCTGGGAACGAGAGGAGGGCTTGGGTTTTGCTCCATGTTTCCAGGGCTGTGGGTAATGCTGGAGTGCCGGTGTGACTGGGGGCACGGTTGGTGTCTGCAGGATGCCTTGTACCCTGGTGCTGCTGTAAGTGGGATAAATTCAGGGTGTGAGCGGACAGAGGAACTGTGTGCCATTTGTGGTGCGGTGCAAGAGGTCAGGGCCGCCTGCCTGAAATAAAAGCTTGCTATTTCTCCTCGCAGATATAAAACATTCTTAGTAGTGGATTTGGCAGGAAGCGCTCTTTTTTTTTTTTCCATTGGGACCTCTTAGTCTCTTACTCCGCTTAGGCTGTGTCTTCCCACAGGCTGAGTGCTTGTGATCTTGCAGCAGGCTGGGAAAAAGCCAAGCTACCCATCCGCGTTGCCTGGCCCCAAGCAGGTAGCGCTGGTTGGCAGTGCACTGGGAAGTGACTGGCCATGAAATTTGAAAAGGGGAAACATAAAATCCTGCCCCCTTTGCTGTTCCTGAAGATACATTTACCACGCTGACGAGACGCTCAGGTGAGGTCGACTTGGAAAAAAACCTGGTGTAAAACAGTTCTGAGTGGCGGGGAGGCAGACATGTGTCGCACGCCGTTGTCCTCGGAGCGCATGTGCTGGCGGGGGAAAAAAAAAAATCACAGATTTGGCATCTAATTGTGTGCAGTGCCCTGGGGGCAAGGCTGCTGCTCGTTGGAGGGTGTCAAAGTGTTATTTTCCCTCTTTTCTCAGGGCTGGGAGGGTTCCTCTGCAGAGGCCATTGCCTGCCCGATGGCAGGCACCGTGCTGCAGAGAGCAAAACAGCAGAGGAGTTGTTTATGGAGCAAACTTAAACCTGCTTTGCAACTGTTTCCTGGGAAAGACTGTTCAAATTCAGCTTTGCAGCCTTTTGCTCCTGGATTATTGGAGCCGACTGCTGTTTTACTGCCAGCACCTGCTCACCCCTACCCTGCGGGGAGGCTACAAAGCATCTCCTCTTCTAAATCCCACGTGCCTCTTCCATGCCAGGTTTGGGTGGCCCAGCTTGGGGGGCGAGGAGTGGGATAGGGCTTCAGTTTTCCCTCGGTCTGCTCACGGCTCATCTCTTTTCCATGCTGCTGGTCTGGCTGCATTAATGGGCTGGTCCGTATTAGTCTTTGTTAGCTCCTCTTTCTCTTATTTTGTATCCTGTTGGACGCGTTAATGCCAAGCAGAATCTGTACGAAACCCAGCTTCCAAATTTGTGGGTTTCTCCAGCAGCCCCTGATGCCAGATGCAGAATGCAGATGGCTTAGGCAATTACTCCATCCTTTTATTAGATTGCTAGAGATTAATTAAATGCTTACACTCCTTTAGTTCCTTTTATCCCCAAGAATCCCGAGAGCTTAAACCCGCACAGCTCTTGTTTTGGCCAGGCACCCAGCGCGAGTCACAAAAATGAGGAACTCTGATTTAGAGCGGAACTTTGGGGGAAGATTAAAGAAGAAAAATGCTCATCTGGGGCGCCGGGACTCGCGTGCCTGTCTCCTAAAAGCCTCCTGGGATTGCTGATAGCGCGGGTGGTGGGGATCCCGGTGTTACAGCCCTCGGCAGCTGGATCAGTGCTCTTTGCTCCGGCAGCCTGGGATTCCTGACGAGCTTGCTTGGGGCTCACTGCAGGGGGGTAACATGAACCTGGGTCGGTATGTGCTGATGTATTCTTTTAATTTTTAATTTTATTTTTACACTCAGACCTACACTGTGTGCTGCTGTCTTGAAATGGCACATGTAGCGGATGTAGCGCGTGTTTTGGTTCATCAGTAGCTGCTGGCATCTGTGCTGTTGTTCCCCTTGCCTCTTTCCCCAGGGAGTCCTGGCATCCCGGGGTGGGTGGCTATGGGCAGTCAGGATTTGCGTCCTTTTTCAAGCACAGAGCGATGGACTCGCTCTGAAGCAAGCGGTGCTGTCACATGCGATGCTGTCAGGAGACTTGTGTTGCTCATCCCCACTGAGGCCACTTGCAGCCATATGCTCTGGCACAGGGGACACCGAGTCTGAGCAAAGTGTCCTCTAAGGATTATGTTAATCCATTTTCTGGAGATAAATCCAATAGTTGGAAAATCCCACTCCATCTTCTCAGGAATAGTAATACATTTCACACTTTTGGATCTGTTTTCATTGGCCACTCTCTTGGCACCAAACCCCTCTGTGTCCCGGAGGCACCTCAGCCAGGCTGCTGGGAATCGGAGGAGCTGGCTCCGAGGGGAGGCAGGGCATTTGTTTTCCTCTGTGTTTTGTGGTCTGAATTGTTGAATAAAATCAAAAGCCTGGCCTCTTGGGTTAGCTGAAGCGTTCAGATGAAAGAGCTGGGAGCTGCAGCATGGCCCAGGGGAGCGGCCAGAAGTTCCCCCTTGTGCGGTGGTTTTCTGGTTAAATAAATGGGTATGTAGAGAGTAAAGACACCTCCCGTCCTCCTCCACCTCTCCACCCAGCGCAGTTCCTCCAGTCGGGATGAGGAGGAGGGGATGCGAGCTTAATCCTTATCTTCCCAAAAGCCTTGGTGCTGCAGGACAAAACCCAAGGGCCACCTTGTGCAACACCAGCGATTCTGCGCAATCGGAAATCATGACTCAGGCTACTCCAGCGCCTCTGGAGAGGTCAGCATGTAGAGGGAATTAAACAGGGTGGTGGAGCCTGCATTGGAGTGCCAGATCCCCCATCTGTTCAAGTGCAGGGGTGCTGCTGGGTTTGCACAGGGAAGCCCGTTCCGGGCTCCTGTCATTAAAGCCTCTTTTGGGAGCTGGCTGGGTTGGGCTCTCCTCCTGCCCTGGAGGTCTTGTGGTCCAGAGCAAGGTCCCACCTACCAAATACCCATTATTTGGAAACAGCTGTTAATCCTTCAGTCCCGAGACTCGTTAATCCATTCACAGTGCCCTAATGTACATGGTTCCCAATGAAGGGGCAGATGGGTGCAAGGACCCTCTCTGCTACTCCCCCATCTGCAGGCGAGGGGAGAAGGGGCTGTCTGAGCAAACCCTGGTGCTCGGGCAGACCCACCGCCTGCGGTCCAGGACTGCCGTGAGCTGGGACAAGACGTGATGAAACCTGGTGTTCCTCATACCGGACCCATTTGCAGATAAATGTGGGCCTGGAGGTTTGGGAGGATTGCTGTTCTTCTGGGCAGCAGGTGGTTTTTTTGGGTTTGGGTGGTGGGTTTGGTTTTTGGGTTTTTTTTCCCTTAAGGGATCTTGGCAAGCAGGCGTTTTTTTTTTTTTTCATGTTTCTCGGTACTTTTCTCCGCTTTTGTGCGTGGGAAACTGAAGTTGAACGCAGCATCTGCTGCTGTCTATGTTTGGAGATGGGACATGAAGGAGATTTTAGTCTGATCCAGTATGTCCCTTCCTGTGAACCCCTCCAGCTCACCTGCCTGCCACCCTTCTCAAGGCTGTGAGCACTGGCAGAGCCTGCTGGTTGCTGCAACGATAAATCCTTTATCAGAAATATGATTAGAGCCTCAGGTGAACACTAAGCAGCGAATGCATGTGTGTTTCCACTCTTGTGTATATTTTTATGTATTTAGGGGCCGTACATAAAAGCATTTGAGGTGAGTTGAGTTGCAGGCAGCTCGGATCGAGGTCTTCAGTTTCCTCTCCTCTGCTTCAGGCTCCCTTCCCAGCAAGGTTCCCTCTCCTGGAGGGCTGCAAAGCCAGAGACAGGTTGTGTGAAGCTCTGCACCTCTTTAGCTGGCTGGGAGAGACTTGGCAGCTTTATTTGGGGGCTGTTTGTACTGGCAGCGCTCGAGCACGGTGTGCTCTGTCAGGGCTGCTCAGACCGGAGCAAAGCTGCAGTGTGATGTAGCCCAGGATTGCTTGCTCAAGGCTATAAATAACCTTCCCAAGTGCCACAAAAGTTCTCGTCTGAAACGGTGGCATATTTCTGCCGTGCTTGTGAAGTCAGTTCACAGGCTGCCTAGCGAAGCTCTTAGCAAAAAAACCCTCTACTGGGATTTGGCAAAGCCGTGTGTGCCCAGACTGTGGGTACCGGGAAGGCAGCTCGCAGGCTCGGCAGATGCCAGAAGGTCCCGAGGAAGAAGCGACGGGGGTGGGATGCTCCCAGCCCTGCTTTCTGCCTGCTGAAACGCTCCGGTCTCGCACATCCCATACACGAACACCTGTTAAGGCTGGAAGTGCGGGGAGCTCAGCCCCTGCGTGGGGGGCAGCTGCGGGCAGCGTGGGGTATGGAAACGGGGCGAGCGGACAGCCCTGCTTCATGGGCATGGGAAAATTTCAGCTCTCCTGCTGCACCCGCTCGCTCTGCATCCCAGTGGCCCCGCTGCAGGACCGCGTCCTGCTGCAAAGGTGTCTCCCCTTATTGCACGAGTCCCGTTTTGGCCGGTGAGAGGGGAGGGGGGGCGTGGTGCACGTGGCTCTGGTGGGTGCTGGGGTCTTGTCTTGGGACCTTCAGAGCTGTGTGTTGCGGGCACTCGAGTCCCCACGTAGCTCATAGGCAACGCAAGCGTTTCTAGGATCAGCAGGCAGGTAAGCGGTAATATCCTTAGGGCATCAGCTTGACCGGTGC